AGTATTTCAAGCAGCGCCTGCTGATTGTGCCAGTTTTTTTTTCGCTTCTTTTTCATGATATTTGCCGCTGCTGCCATAAATCACATAATTACGTTGATTTTATTTGTTTTCAATTTACAAATGAATTGAAATTCGACATTAATAAATATTGTCAAGCATTAAGCATTAAGGCTCTATATAGGGCCATTTGGCAGCTCGCGCGCGCTGCAGCTGTTAACACACAGCGAAAGAAAGAGATGGGTAGAGAGAGAGAGAGAGTGCGAGCTAATCAGCAGGGGACACCCTCGAAACGGTGTTTATTTTTGGACACACGGAATAATGATGCGTAAGCTGATTAAGTACAGCCGCACAGGCGACGACAGCAGCATATGCAAAATCAATGCACAATCAATGTACATTTTAATTGATATGAATGCAGCAGCAGCTTAAGGAGCTGAAATTAACTGGCAGACTGTAAACTCTTACAGTGCTCTTAGGCTGTAAAAAGTTAAATTAACATAGCATTTCGTTAATGCTTTCTGTTAAGTTAACATAAGTAGCTAAAAGGATATGTTTAGATAACATCAAATACTCTTTTAGTATATTTTAGTAAATTTGTAATGCAGCTCAACTCTTTTAACATATTTTAGTATGTTTTTAGTAAATCTCAACCAATAATCTTTTAGTTTAGTACGATTTTAGTACACCTTCAATTGCATTCATACACTTCCAATTATTTACTAAATCTGCTGCCACACACAAACACACACACACTTAAATTGGCGGGCATTCCAAGATGGCGACCTATATTCGAAATAGCTAAAAGCAAATGCCACAAATAATTTATATCAAATACTATAATTTATATGTTTGTATACAATATATATGTTCATATAGCTGGTAGCGTGTCAGGCTACGGAAACGGGAAATGAGTCACGGCTACAAAGTGCAAACACACGAGCGCCAAAGCAATTATAATAATAAACGGCCATTGAATGTGTGAACCAGAAGAATTAACAAGAAACAAGTAACAAACAAACCAACAAGACACAAAAACAAATATGCCAAATGCACAAGATATTTGTGTGAGTATGTATGTGTGTGTGTGCGTGTTTGTATTCTAAGAATGTGCACACACACACACAGACACAATTTGGAAATCAATTTACATTTCGATTGCATTTTTTTGTTTTGCATTTGCAGCTAAAGTCTTTGGCCCCATTTGCTGTTAAATGACGTTTAAGCAGGCAGATGATAATGAAGTATATCTGATATGATAATGTTGTATCATATAAAATTATATATTTAAATATATATTGTATATTATATATGTGTATTTATACATATGTATATGAGTTGGTGATATATTAAGAACGCCTGCCGTTATATGCATATATCTTTCTATTTACTCTATAAATGGATTTGGAATATATATTTATAAAAAATTGGAAATGGAGTTTAAGAGATAGATGTATAGTAGTACAAGCCTATATATAGCATACTTTCCGGCAGTTGGCCTGTTTTTACTGTGATTGCATGAGCTATATATTGGATCTTATATGTAGATTATATCTTATATCAAAACTACAGAATTTTCTCTGAGAACAATAATTTGTATAAGAAATTTTTAAATACAATTTCATTTGAGCAAAATCTTTTACTACCTCTTATTAATCTTTACCTTTATATATAAATTAACTTTTAAATACTAAGTAAACTACAGGGTATTCGCAATTTGAGCTTAACTCTTTTCAATCGCCTAACGGCCAAGGACGGAAGAAAATGGTAAGAGCGCTTCAAGTGCGCCTATAAAAGGCCAAAAAGTCGAAGCTCTGCAAGGGGCGTATTACAAGACAGGGCATGGCTGCACGCTGAACGTGGAAAAATACATATATAAATATTATACATATATATGAAAAAAGATAAAGCGAAAAAAAACGCCAGAGTGGTAACTGAAAACTAGTTTTGCCAGCCGATTACATGACATAAAATCAATCATTAACATTTGTAAATTGTGTTTGCGACTTATTTGGTAAGTTGTTCACTGCTCATTGCTCGCTGTTGAGTTGTCGAGTTGTTGCTGACAGAATCCCTGCCCCGAAAAGGGGTCGAAGCTGGGCACAGTTAGGTGTGCTGCTGACGTTTGTTTTAGTTCACCTTAAGCAGTAGTTAAAGAAACAACAAAAGTTGTTTTAGAGATATTAAATGCAATTGTTATTGCAGCTGTTATTATTATTATTGTTGTTGCACAGTAAATCTTATTTAATATTTAATGAAGTGGTTTACATTAAGAAAAGATGCCTATAAAGAACATCAAGTAAACTTGCACTGGAACAGTTTAGCAAGGCTGAAAAGGAGCACAGGTAATTTGGTAAATTTATGATAAATTGTTAAAGAATATGTAAAGTAAATGTTAGCTCTATAAAATTACATTAGCTAAATTTAAATATATATATATAAATTTACATACATGAACTTTGCAATGAGTTGACTGTGAAAACAGTGATCTCAGTTTACAGCTTTCTTCGAAATGTGACGTTAACAGGACTTGCAAAATGGTACATTCTGCCTTATTCTGCATATTTCTTACATTTTCGGTACACTTTAGTATTTTTTAGCACATTTCTATTAGCAACTCTAAGCTCCAGCCAACACGATTCAAACATTGCAACCAGTGGCCATTCGCACAAATAACATAAAACACACACACACACACATACACTTAGCTGACAGGCCCCTCTTTTTGCTTGGCTAAATGATTTAATGATACGTTTTACTTTATGTTTTTTTTGGCTTGTTAATAAATTTTATTGGCTCGCATTACAACATTTTTTGCGTTCGACAACTTTTACGACTCACAGCAGCAGCCATAAAATGATAATAATACAAATAAAAATTTGTTAATTGCTTCATTGGCCATAGATAAATATACTCGCAAACACACACGCACAGTCTCATATATGTATATATTTATAAATAATTGTTCATTTAATGGCCAATTTAATGCGCAGACAAAACGCGCCATAAAAACATTTGTTGCTGCCAATGGCTGCAAAGCAACATAAAGTCAAATCAAAACTTGGTAAGTGTTGCATCAGCCACTTTAGAAAATTGATTTGATCTGGCCATGATTACAATTATATATACATACATACTATATATATCGCAATTAATACGCTGCGAGAAATTGGGGACAAATCGGAGAGCATAAACTAGAGCTAGTTAGGATATAAGATGAAAGACGAAAAATGTAAATAAGATATAGATATAGGATGAATGTTAAAAGCTCAGACTTCGGTAAGATGTAATAAAATGGATAAGAGATTAAACATCGAACATAGATGAGATATAAGAAATAGGACATGAGATAAAAAACATGCTAAAAACATTTTTAAAGTGCTCAAATTGAAAACGAATGAGATTCAGTTGTAGCCATCATTTTCTCGCTGTGTAATTGAGTCATTGAATAAAGTCATAAAGCGCTATAAAGTTAAGATGTGTCTAGATAAACCCTAATAGCTAATTATACAATAAATTATAGTTCACATACACACACACATATATAGTTATATATATCTACATATATAATCCAATGCCAAATCGATGCGAAATACACTTAGACAGTTCATTGAACTCTTCAAGAGAGTCTGGATCTGGCAGATGTTATACAAATATAAATATATACATATACACATATATGTGTACTATATGAGAGATTGGTGGAGTACTTATAATAATATGGAAAACATATGCATATTGTGCCTTGATATATGGCCCTGCCTGCTGCCCATTTCTCAATTGGCAACATCAAAGGCGTCAATTTGTATCTTTGTATCTGGATCTGTAATTTTGTTGCTTGCTTGCTTGCTTTGGCCACGCGTATAAACACAAAGACAATCGAACGTCCACTTGAATTGGCAGGCGCTATATAGCTTCATTATCATTTTGCAAATACACCAACACACATCTGCACACACATACACTGGCACAAGAAGTCTCTGCACAATTGCTTTTCAATTAGGCAACGTTCGAAAGAGCCTCCATATAAAAATTAAAAAACCCCTAAGAAAAGTTTCCAATTCCGCTGATGTGCAAGGGCGGCAATTCACGGAAATCACACAGATAGCAAAAAAAAATAAATAAAAAAAAAGAACTAAAAAAGCTAATAAAACTTGCATTTAATCAGAAGTGATAAAAGTTATCTAGCTGAGCGCTTAAGCCATTCCGGGAAATCTTTCTAATGTCATTTTATATTTGAGATAAATTACGAATTTTATTTATTTATTTTGACAATAAAAACAAGCTATTTTTGGCAAATCAACAAATTAATTTGACTTAATAAATAAATTAGACAATTTGAATATATAGCGATTCAAAGAAATAGAAACGAAAGACAGCTTTCTTGCGAGTCGATTAGCATGATCTTTATATAGACTCGAGCTAAAAGAGATATGATCCTCCACTGTATCATATCAGAGAGAGCTGTAACCATACAATTATCAAATGGTTGACATTTGATATCAAAAATCTGATATGTATATCTATCACATTATATATATCTGATACACATTCTCATCAAGAGTCTAATAAATGCCTTCAAATGATACGGAAATAAAAGTGTGCAAAATATTAGCGTTCGATCAATTGATTTGATTCGGTTTCTGTTCGCTGGTGTGGCAACTCTTCAATTTTGCAGCATTTGCTGCCCTTCAACTTCAATTTCAATCAGTCACAACTTCATCAGCAGCATCAGCATTGGCAACTTCATAATGAAGTTGGCTTTTTCAAGTTCATTAACATGGGCGAACGAGAGCAAAGATCGATTGGAGAGTCTTCAATGGACTTCTCTTGTTTCCATTATTTGACTTGGGCAACTCGCTGAACTTGAAAATGAAGGATGTATATACATATGTACATATGTATATGTATATATATATATAAAGATTCGATTCTCGATCATTCTTTCTTGGAACAATTAAAATTATAATTGATTTCCCCTCTGCCCACTTTTGTATACTCACATTTAGTGACAGCTTCTTCATGGCGTTGATTTGTTTTTATTTTCTCTTTTCCTTTCGTTTTTTATTTGCTCTGTTGTTGTTAAATATACAATAAAATGTTTGTAAATTTGTTTGCTGGTAATTAGTTGTTTGTAAGTACCCGGTTTAACTGTTTATTTAAGTACTTTTAACACAGTTTGTTTAATTTTCATATTCCGTTTTGTTTGCGATTTATATTTTATATTTTGTTTAAGTTGACTTGCCGCAGTTTTGGCTTCTTTTTCCTTTTCTCTAGCTTTTTCTTTTTGTTTAGATTTTCTAAAAATAATTATTATTACATACATTATTATTATTATTATTATCAAATGTTGCTGATGTTGTTTGTTGCTCTTGCTTAAAGCGAAAGTTTTAAATGGGATCGTCTAACAGTTGTAAGAAATCGTTTTTACTAACAGATTTCCTCTTAGCTAATAAAAGTGCAAATCATTAATCAACAAAATGTTATTTCGCTGCGCTGGAAAGCTGTTAAAGCGTGTGTCTTTGGCCCGCCCTTCCAGTGCGCATTCCAAATACGCATTGCAGGAATTTCTGTTATGCTCGTATGATCGCTGTCATTTATTATTATTATTAATGTGTGTGTGATACGTATGTGTGCGTAAACGTCGACGTCAACGCCATTGATTAAAATCATTTATATGCATTGAGCGCTTTAACGGCCAAAGTGCAGCAGCAACAGCAACAGCAGCAGTAGCAGCGGCATCGGCTGAGCGTGGGCAGAGCACACTACCCAGAGGGAGGGTGAGAGTGACAGTGGGAGAGAGAGAGAGTGTGGAGAGCGCGCGCGCTGACGAGGGCTGGCTGGGCGCATGCCTGGCTGCTTTTGCTGCTTACTCTTTGCTGCTGCTGCTACTGTTGTTGTTGTTGTTGTTGGTTATTGCTGATGTTGATTTATTTAGCCGGTCTGATCGCTTTGCCCGCTGCATTTAAAATGTCGGAAGTGTTTGCGTGCAAAAAATAAATACAAATGCAAGTGCGTATATATGTGTGTGTGTGTGTGCTTAAGCATAATATATATTATATATGTATATAAATATATATACATATTTATAAATATACATATATATTTCCTGTTGCAAGCGCACATTTGTGCAACAACAACTCAAATGGAGCTCGAAGTCGCATTTATTGGCAAAACGCGCCAACAATTTTGATTTCTAGGAAATCACAAAATAAATAAAAATATGCTCGCTCATTTCGTGGTGATGTCTCTTATTGTATATGTGTGTGTGCGTGTGTGTATCCCTATGGCCGGTTTTGCCTGCTCCCTTTTTTCCAGTCGCCTCGCTTTTTCACGCACCAATAAGAACTTATGACATCATCGCCCAATAAAATATCAACGAAAGTTGTCTTGTGTAAGTGTATGTGTATGCATGACTATGTGTGTGTGGCTGTGGCGCACCCTCTCATGGCAACAGAGCCAAAAAGAAAAGAAACAATGTCAAACAACAAGAAGAGAAGTGACAGTGACATCGGCAGAGGCAGTGACAGCGGCAGCGGCCGTGGCAGAGACTGAGGAAGAGGCAGAGCCAGTCACAGCAACAGCACCAGCTACAGCGACAGCGCAGGGAAACGTGGCTCAAAGAGTCAGCGTCATCTGTGGTGGCCTGCGTGCAACATAATGCGAAAACAACAAAAGAAAGAAAGATACGACAACAACAGCAACAACGGCAACGTCAATTTGTGCCGGTCGGCGGCATTGATTTGGTTATGGATATCGATGAAAGATGACGACACAACTGACTGTGAGCTGAGATGCTTGAGCTGCAGGCGCAGGCGCAGGCGCAAGGGCACAGCTCCGCACAGCAGGTAGTCCCCGTTTTATGCGCACTGGGAGAGAGAGAGAGAGAGTGAGAAGGAAATGTTGCGAGTGAGAGCCGACCTGCGCACACAGATTAAAGCGTTGCGATAAGCAGCAATTGGTATTTTGGTATTTTATGATATTCGAATTTTTTGTTGTTTTTGGTATTTTGTTATTGGTTGCAGCTACAGGTTGGAAGCGCCTGTTGCTCACGCAATTTGTATGTGTGTGTGTTTTTTTTTTTTTTTTTTTTTTTTTTTTAAATGTTAACAGCAACAGCAACAACAATAATAATAATAATAATAATCGTAACAATAATTATTCGCGCGGTACTTTTCCACCGTGTACGCAAGACAACAACAACTTTATTTTGGTTTACTTAATAACTTTATTTTTTAATGCATAAGTATATATTTTTTTAATTTGTTTGTTAAATGTCTTTTTTTTGTTATTTAACGTTAATGCAAAAAACAAGCACTTAAAATATGAACATATACAATTTGCCAACGTTTTCTTTTATCCTTCATAGACACTTGTTAATTGTTTATTTGATTAAATAATATAATTTAATTTTCCATTAAATATATTTAATAAATTTCTATTGACACTTGTTTGCTTGCACTTAATATTTGTATTTTATTTATTTTGTTGTTGTTTGGCTCGATTGTGTTGCTTACATGATCTTTGAAAACAAGACAAAATCTCTCGTATATCTATGCTACAAGTGTTGTCTCTCGGAAAACGACCTGCTCGCCACGCTGTTCAGATTGAAACTGTTGCACTCGGCAATCCGGTTTTGTTTTTTTATACATCTGTTGTGAACTTGTGCGAAACTCTGAGAGCGACCCTCTTACCTCTGCAACATTGTTTGGCTGCTGGCTGCCGACTGTTACTGTTAACTTAACATGCACAAATGTGTGTATGTGTGTGTGTGCGTTTTTGTTTTATTGATTTCTTGTGCGCCTCTGTTATGCGCGCTGCTCAAGCAACATGTTGCTGGCCAATTTGTTGCCAGCTGCCTTGTTGCTAACGCTCTGCTCTTTCACAGCGAATCACGCGCTCTCTCGCTCGCTCTTTCTCTTTTGATTTGCATGCACGTGTGCTCTTTGAACCACTTGTTGCCGGCATAAGTTGTCCATCTCTCTCTCACTTCCTCTCTTTAAGCATACTTTCATCTTCCTTTATCTTTGGATTTCCCCTAGGTAAGTTTTTATTTTTAATTTGTTAGCTGACGTCATTGATTGTTAAATGTGGCTATAATTGCAACATGTAATTGCCGCAGACAACAATCTCCATGAATTCCATTGTTATACCCTGCGAACGCAGAAGTTTATGGGTAGCCTAAGCTTCAATTACAATTGGGCGATGGAGAACCTTGAATGAGCTCATTTGTTGTCATGGATTATAATCCTTTCAGCTTATGCATATATTCATTTGACATTTACATTGCATACTATTAGGCTGTCATATCCACTTTTAATAGTATTTCAGGAATGTTCTAATCTAGATATTTATCAATTACAGGATATGCATTCAGTCTATCATTATTTTGATTGCCTAATTTGTGCATTATTAGCACATCACGAGCTAATTGAGCGGGAAACTTTATTCGAATGGAAAGTGCCTGCGGAACCAGTTCAAAAAGTTCTCGATTTCATATCCAGACGATGACTGTTCTCCTTTTTTTTTTTATATTCTGAATTCAACTTGTTCATCGCTTAAAATTAATAAATTTACGCACGCAGAATCTTGTGGTTAACAAATTCTGCTAATTTCATAACATAAAAAAAAAATCTAATTATAAATCGACCCCTGCGGTGGCTCAGTATTAAAACAGCAGGTTAGCGTGACGATTGCAATCAATTACATATATATACACATAGATCTACGTACATATATGTACATTTGTACACTCAGATGTATATCCCACATTTTTACGATTATATGCTAACAATTAAACTAATTAAATCATCATTTCGATATAATTATTGTGAATAAGCGAAACCAAAAGCAATTACAGCACGAGTTAAGTTATGGTCAAACAATTAGATTGAATAGTTTTATATTGATTAGCAAACGATTTGATGACTCACGAGCGACTTTGCCTTTGCCTTTACAAAGGGTGTCAGCTATGACGTTCGTTCACTCCAATTATGGCGTCATAATATTCCCGTGATGCCCAAATATATATTAACATTGTTTCCAGAAAACTGCGAGGCTGATCAAAACAAGTGATGCAATGCATAAATAACATGCGAAATCGTTGAAAAAAAATAAAATAAATAAATAAATAAAAAGTAAAAACTCTTCTGGAAAATTACAAAAAACCCTCAATTTCCAGATAATAGAAGCCGCTTGAAATGAATTAACACAATTTCATTAATAACAAAGAATTAGGGAATAGCTTAAAAGTGTAATTCGAAAATATTCCGCTGTGAACTTTTACTTAACACTCTATGCGGAGAAACGGATTATTCCACTGACATATAAAAATCCTAAACGCAGTCCAAACAGGCATTTGCAATCTAGTTGAATATGACGAAATTAGAGTTTTGCTAATACATGTGTAAGCTCTCGTTTAACACTAAAAATCGAAATCTAAAGATTTAGCTTACAGACAAATACTTATATATTTTTAAAGAGCTAAAAGGAAATATATTTTCTTACTAAAACATTCTAGAGTTTTCCAAGTTTAATCTGCAATTAGAACTAGTTTAGAGAACAGCTTTAAGAACTAGAGAGCAACGCAAAAGCATAATCACTAAAAAGAAAACTGTTCCCATGCCTATAAATTGAATGCGTGCACACACACGCACGCATTCACACTCACACGAGCGCCCATTACTGAAAAAACGGAACCGGAAATTACAGCGAGCAATAGTATGAGTATGTGCGTGTGAGTATGAGTGTGCCTGTTTCGTATATTTGTGTGTGTGTGTATTGAGATAAAGAAGCCGAAAAATGAGTTTGAAATGAATCAAATATATGCCAACCCACGGGCATATTGAGTGTTCAGCGTATAAACCCATTAATATTTCATGCTCAACAAACAATTGACCTTGTAACAATTTCTTTACAACAACAATAAGTCCAAAAATATTTAAATTTGTTATTTGGGCAGTGTAAATAAGTGAACGCCAGCAGAGGCGAACAGGAAGCAGACGAAAGGGGGCTGGATTTTGTATTTTTTCAATGTTATTAACCTCAAACTGGGCCACAGAGCAAACAAACAAAAGTTGAACTTGCAAATGCAAATGCAAATGCCGCAAAAAAGGGCGTGTATGTGTGTGGCTGCTGCTGTGATAAAATGTTAATAAACTGATAAACAAATAAGCAAATATGCAAAGTGTATAACGAAGGCAAAGATCGAAATCGGAATTGGAACTTGCATCGGAATCGGAATCGCAATAGGAGGGTCGCTTACCTTAGGCGCTTGTTTCGTGTTCGATGCGAGTTTCTCGGTCTCGTTCTCGTTTTGGTTTTTGATTCGCGTTTGGCGTTTATCGCCGCCTATCGGCCGTTCTCTTTTTGGCAAACTTTTGTTGCATACAATTTTGGTATTTTTTGTTGTTGTTTTGTGGTTTATCTTTGATCTAGCGATTACTTTCTTTTTAAACTTGACGCTGGGGCGTTTCTCTGGCGCTTGAATTTATCGCCATTTTGTATGGATTTTCGTTAGATCTTTATGTGCGTTGCGTTGACGCGGCCTAGGCGGCATAGATGGGCGTGACACAGCACAAGAAGGAATCAAATAACAACAATTCTGCACGCTTTCTATGGTATTTAAATTGATTTTGTTCCTCTTTGTGGTTGGTTTTGTTTTTTTTTTTTTTTTTTTTTTTTTGAGATTCACACGCGTTTACTCTCGCTGGCTGCTATTGCACTGCTGCTCTCTCCTGGTGCGTGGCAAAACTGACGATAATAGCTAGAGGCGGCAATCACAATCGTTATCATTCACAATGAAGCCGACGCGCAATGAATGAATGTGAATTGTTGTTTGTTTGTTTGTGTTTGCTGCTGTTGCTTCTGCTACTGCTGCTGATCTGCACACAAGCTCACACAGGGACGCACGCACGCAAAGACGAGACACTGATCGCTCTCTCACTCGCTCTCGGTCTCACAAAAACACATTCACACACAGAGACTGGCTGTTTGAGAGTGTGTGTAACATTCGCACGCAATGCGAGTGGTTGGCGCGTTTAGTGACATTCAGTGCCAGGGCATCAAAATTGCTTTACATATGCACGTACATACACACAGACACTGACTGATATATATATGCATATGTATCTTTGTAAATATATTTCCACATAATTGATACGCGGCGTATATCGAAGCTGTCGCCCCTGGCCAAGGGCCGAGCTATTCTCACGTTGTCACTGATAATTCACAATTGACTGTGTGTCATACAAACATACAAATATATAAACGCACACACTTATATACATATATGTATATACATATATGTTGAATATGTATATGTATATTAAAAAGTAGCCAATATATATCTGAAATGCTCACAAAAACAAATGTTGGCACATATAGACAAGAATATGTATAACTATATGCTTATATCTATCTATATGCCAAGGCGACACGATTTGTCAAAAAATTCACTAAAATATTCTCTTTTTTTATATTTTGTCATTTCTTTTATGTCGAAAGCAGAATTGTCAAGCCGCATGAGGAACGAACGCAGACTAAATGCAAAAAATGAACTGACAAAATGTTGGGCTGGCTGTTGGGGGACTGAGCAAAGCGAGCGCTGAACAACACTGAGCACTGGAACACGGACGATCATGCGGATACACTCATACACACACGCAAACACAGACGTACATACATACATATATGTTGGTCGAGTTTAGTGTCTGTCTGCGGCCCCAATGCAGTCGCCGTCACCCCCTTTCCAAGCTCTCTGATAACTGTGTGCGTGTAGGTCTGCATGTGTGTGTATGTGGCCACTGCATTGACACAGTGGCATGGGAGCCCTGGCCAGATAAAGGCTACAAATCAATGCAATAATCTACCGGGGCGAACCCCTCGCGCAGCTACGCCACTGGCAGAGCACACGCACACAAGCTCAGCAATTGAAATTGAAATTGAAGCATGTAACTGTAATTCGCTCGCACTCACCAAAATAAAGCGCGTCATGAGCATAAATGAGGAAGGAAATATTTGCGATATGCACGACTATAGCATGCGCCTTAAAATTCAAATTAAAAAATTGCAATAGGTTGCAAATATTAATACTCTCAACTTAAATTCATAAAAATACGAATTTTTTTTTCTAATTTATGACAAGCTGAGTAGTCTTGCAAAGTTTCATAATTATCGATTAATCGGAGTTCCCCATAAGTATGCTGCACAGTATGTATTTTGCTTTGATCATTTGTAGCTAAATTTAGGCATTTTTGTGTTAATTGCCTAGATGTAGGCCTTTTCCATATCTCTTCAAATCCATCAAATCTATCGATAATTTGTGTTTGCTTTTTGAACACATTTCTGTTTATTAATTTGATAAAGTATATGTGTGCCTATCATTAACCTATGCCCCCTGCTGGCTATATAGGGTATTCAAAAATTAAACACTTTTGAGTATACATATATGCATATATATATGTGTGTGTGTGTATGCTGGTGCGAAGTGTCTTTTTAATCAGTTCTTGCAAGCAGCACCTCCACCTTTCGACTCAACGTCAACTTATCATGTAAAACCGTGTAAAATGTTTAAATGTGTAAAGAAAAAAATAAAAATAAAAGTATGAGCTGCGTCGCATATTATTGCCCATTTCCGTTTTTATTTTGAGGGGCGGCAACGGCGACAGCCCCGACTTAAATATAAACGTAACCAAAGCCAAAGCCTAGCTATATATAAATACATATACGTATATATATAAATTATACGCCTACTTACAATTAGATTTACGATTGTGCTTTGAACTGTGCTTCATGCACACATTTACATACATACATACGTACATCCATATATATTTAGTAATATATGTAAATACTATATATGCAGGCAGTGATAAAGAGAGACAGAGTGAGAAAGAGAGAGATAGGGCGAGCGAGATTACGTATACGTCAGCGTGTCAACAAACTTGTAATGTGGCACAAGTATGATTCAATAGACGTTTGTATATAATCTGAGAAACTGTGTAGCTGGCAGACGCGTTGTCTGATCGTCCGATGTGGCAATAGATCAGGCAATAAATATATATTTTGCATTTGATGTAAGTTCAAGACATTTGCGTCTTATAAAATCTACGTTTAACGGTATCCAGAGTGACTTGATTAGGTAACTGGGCTCTATTCGGGGGCTATTAGGGGGTGTTAGTTGGGTTTGCTGACAGCTAATTGCCGTATGGTCATATTTTGTTTAAGATATGACTATGAATAGACAGACATATGGACAGTTAAAGCTAAGCTAAATGAGCGTCGCACACGCAAATTATAAAAAAAAAAAATACTAAGTTGTTGGAAATGTCAAGCTCAAGTCACAAGCTTTCTCAAAATGAGCGAGAGAAAGAGGGAGAGATCGGGAGAGTAGAGAAAGAGAGTAGGAGGGTGCAAGATGTGGACAGACCTCAGCAAAGGTCACCCGCTACAGAGAATATCTGTAGTTGTGTCTGTTTCTGTTTCTCTGTCGCGTGCATGGGCACATAAGTCACATATGGAACCAGATCAAACTGCTGCCATTTAAGAAAAAGCCACATTTTTCGTTAGTTACTTATTAGCTAGTGACTTTTACTGGGCAGCCGAGGCGATCGGCCATTGCATAAATAAAGCACAGCTCAAAATATGCATGCAACAAATCTGATATATGAGCAGCTCACATTAATAATCATAACTATATATATAAAGATATATCTATCAATATATATATACATATTTAAGCTATATATGAAGTAATTTAAAAACATAATTTCTAGTGAATCAGAGAGATGTCTTATAAAGCAGTCGATCTTCGAATTGAGCTTATATAATATTTCGCACTATATAACTTTTTTTTTTCTTTACACATATATAGTATGTATATATGTATCTACATATGTATCTCAGACACTTTAGCTATTTTTCTCAATATATATATATTATATAGCAATATACATTTTATTATATAACATATATATCTTAGACACTTTAAAATTTTTTTTTTTTTTTTTCATTTTTTATTTCCACTTTAATTGCAATTATAGATCAGCTTACAAACCCGTTCTCTAGCTGCTTGTCTAAAAATAACTTTGAGCCCAGCCAAGTTTTATTGCCTTTCGATGTGGTTTAAACAGATCTCAAAATGTACTCACCATTTTGTATGAGTTTTGTTGTATTAACTGTAACTGTCTTGAGCTGTTGACTGTGGTTAAAAACTGCGGCGGGTTCTGCAAACTGTGCCAAAATGTTTGCGAAACTTCTGGCCAAGCGGCTTATATATGCTAACCAAAACGGGGGGGTTGCCGTCGACTCCTCTGGGCGGTTATTGCGGTCTTCTCTTTGCATAATACGCGGCGACTGCTGTGGATACTGCGGATGCTGCTGATTACAAAGGCGCCCCTCAAGACAACTGTATAAATTAGATAGAGCAGTTGTATGTATGTTAGCATTTGAGTGGGTTTATGATTATGATTATGTGTTACGTTGATTAGAATGCGCTCTCCCTTATCACTTGTTGCTGCTGTGTTTTAATGTGCATGTCGAATGCTTCTATTCCATCCATTGAATTCATTTCCATCTGTATCTTCATTCTCGTCATTGGCATCTGCAGTGCAATTTGTTTAGCCCACAAAGGCTGTCATTAGCCGAATGTTCAGCAAGGACGATTCATTATGCACATCGATATGCGCTTATTGAGCATGCCAAGTGCGAAAGGCGAAAGCCTTTCACTTTCCCAAACAGCGGGCTATCACTGGCGGATCCAGCGGCAGTGATGCGCAGCTTAGCGGAAAAGACGCCAAAATAGCTGATATAGATGTGGCATTAGTAAATGGGATTATATTTAGTTGGTCTCAAATATTTTGTTTTAGATATAAATATAGTTACAATATTTAATTTTGTTATTTTTAGTTATATTATAAAAACGTATATTGAAAAATTAGTATTTTAATATTTACTCAGATATTTGCATATAATAATATTGAAAGTTCTGCAAGATGTAGCTTATTTATGAAAAATAAATTAATTTTTAAAATTATTAAAAATTTTTTTTACAATGTAAATTTTATTTTAAATATTTACACAATTCGTTTCGTTCATTTTCGAATTCTAAACGTTTATTTAAATTAGCCATGATGTCCATGTCCATGCCCATGTCCATGACCGTGGCCACCTCCGCCTCCGCCCCCGGCGCCTCCACCACCAACAATCACCGGCTTGACCACGACAATGGGCTTCACGACGACGGGCTTCACGAACACCGGCTTGGGCTTGACGAACTTGGCGGGCAATTGGCTTAGAAGCTGCACTGGATCTGGCAGACTGGAGAGTTTCTCCTGCAGAAGCATTACCTTCCCTTGGGATTTCAGAAACACTGGCTTCGACTTCAGCTTGGCGGGCAGTTGGCTTAGTAGCTGCACTGGATCTGGTAGATTGGAAAGCTTCTCCTGCAATAGCGCTGGCTTCACGAGCATCGGCTTGGAATTGATTAACTTGACGGGCAGTTGGCTTAGCAGCTGCACTGGATCTGGTAGATTGGAAAGTTGCTCCTGCACAAGCGCTGCCTTTCCTTGAAATTTATCCAGTGTGGGCGTGGCCAGCGCACAGGCTGCAGTGGCCAGCAGGAGCAGCAATCGACACCTGAGCAGTTGCATAGTTAACAATTTATGAAGTCGTCCAACCTGATGTTGGACTATTTATGGTTGAGCAATAGTCAGCATGAAAAACTTAATTGGCATTCACGAAATGTCGCCTCTTTTTCGCTCTGCGCTCTTCACGCTTATTCAAATTCTCGATTATCGCTCAAAACTCCTGTGGTTGTTGTTGTCGAGAATTCCCCCAGTTGTAAGTTGAATTAATGATTATTCCGTTGGCATTCAGTCGCACGCTTCTCTAGATTCTCAATCAGAGAAATGACGTCTTCAGCTCTTTTTATAACATATATATATATATATAAGGTTTATACAGTCCAAAAGAGCACTTGCTTTGCATTTCGCATGATTTGAATAAATTTCTGTTTGTTTTACTAAAACATATCTCGATTTCAATTGCGGAAGTCAAATACATTCTGTCTTACATACTTTCATGTCGCCGAGCAAGCAATCGAATATCATCAAGCTAAATAAATGTATTTATATATTTAATTATATTTGAATTTCAATTTTATTCTCTTCAAAGAAAAACGTAAAAGTTTACATTTCAAAGTTTATGATCAGCTGTTTTAGAATGCTCATCGTTCATTTAAATTTATAACGAAAAGCAATTTTTTGCGTTTTTCATTACTGCAAATGTCTTCGCGCTTTACAGCACTGCTCACAATGATTCGTTGAAAATCAAATATATTTGTGTCAAAAATTTGAAAACGTGTTCGTTGTGCAATGTATGTGTGTGTATGTGAGTGTGTATATGTGTGTGTATGTGTGTGTGTATGGGTGTCGTATGTGTGTGCTGGTGTTTGTATGTGTGTGTGTGTGTGTGCTGTGCTGATTTGTATGCTGGTGTGGGTATGTGTGTATGTGTGTGCGTGTGCACATGTATACCTATGCTGACATACATGATTATTCTTGTTTATTGTCTGTTTTGGTTAAGTCGCTCAAAACGTCTGCGCTCCATTTCGCGAAATTGACGCCGCTGAGCCGGTGTTGCGCCCACCAATTGGCGTATAATAAGATTATTCTCAGAATACTCCCTTGGATTGTAGGTAGGTGCCGGTGGCTCATCATCCCAGTTCTCGGAGCACTCCACCAAGTCGACTTGAGACGGACGCGGCTCTTTCGGCGGCAATGCATCGGGATGCAGAAAACGTTCCAAGTCGCAACGGTTCGGACAGTTTAGCAAATGGTTCTGCAAATATTTATTTTTGAACTTCCCTTAGAGTTCATTTATGGGCGCCATATACTTACATTCAATCCCTTGGGTTTCACCACATGGGTATTGTTAAACGGACAGCGCACCATGCCGCTGCTGAAATGATTGCGGGCACAGCGCGTTAGGTGCCAGGCGAAGCGGCCTGGTAGCAAGCTATGACTCTCGTCATAAGGGCATTTTATATATTCATCAATATTTGGTTCTATTTTAGGTTGAATATTCGATTTGGCAGCCGATTTGGCTGCCGATTTGGCTGCCGATGTGGCCGCCGATTTGGAAGTTTTCTTTGAAGAAGACATCTCGGAAAATTTTCTTTGAGCAGTGAAAACTAAAAAAAAAAATGGTTGCAAAACATAATTTTCACTTGCATGTAATTACTACTTACATAAATAATAGGTTTATATATTTTCTCCCTATTTATTAAATTTTTAACTTTCTCAGCTAAAATTTTTCTTCGTTCTTTGCAGTTCGAATATTCAAGAAGGAATAGAACGACTGTAATAACAGCTACTCATTAGGTGCGGTTGAAAAGTGCCGTTAGCTGCTAATTTAACACGATTTTATTTACGGAATATGTCGCAAAATTTGTAATAGAATATTAATGCGCTTCGGAATGATTACTGAAAGCTTGACACACTTTTACTGAAAGACCTTTTTTTGCAATAAGCACCACTATTTATACTCGAAGTATCAATCCAAAGCCTATTAAGTTAGCTGCATAAAGTTTTCTGGCAAAAAATAGTAACTTTAAATCAGCTCTGTTGAGCAGCGAATGTGAATTTTTAAATCTGTACTAGATGCCTTAAAATCTCCGTTATATGTCGTGACTGGGTACTCTAAAAATACTTGTACACGGTAACGAGCTGACGAGTACCCATCCCTGGATCTGTGAACTAGCATTAATGAACGGAAAAAAACAATAGTAATCGGCTATTTATTTATTTAAAGTAGAAATGGACGAAAGCGTTATAGAAATTAACGATTCAATAATAACAATTGGGAGCGAGGCCGATTTGGAAGATGGCGAAGTGCAGGAAATATCCACAAAGGAGATAAACAATGCCGCCAATTTGCAGCAACCCCCAATCAAAGAACCAAGCGAAGCAACGAATGACCAGGTACAGCAAAACGAAAGAGAGAAACAAAACAAATTGCTAAATTGTTCATTTTATAAATGATAATGTAAATTTAATACAGCAGAACTCAAATACAACTGAAGAAGACTTGGTATTCGAAGTGAGATTTAATAATGTGGACGAATATGACAGGCTACAAGAGCGTCTGCTCCAAGCGCTGCAGTCGACTTTTGCCGCGGAGAAATTTGAGTACAAAACAACGGAGCAGAGGATTACCGTGCATTCCCAATCGAAATCTCCAGCACCGGACAATGATCTATTTATGATAGACACGGCGCCGACGTGCAAGCTAAATGCCGCCCAAGTGCCTTCATACAAGCGCTGCCATGGCGAGGTGCTCGACGAGGAGACCTTCGAACGAAAAAAACGAAAACTGGATGAGGTTAACAAATGCTTCCGCCCTAAAGCGCAATCCGCTTGCTTTAATTGCGGTGGCACAGATCATTCGCTGCGTGAGTGCACGCGGCCGCGCAATCAGGCGCGCATTCAGCGGGCACGCAAGAAGAAGGTGGAGCGGTATCACGTGGACACGGAGCAACGTTTCGCGCACATTCGACCTGGAAAGATTAGCAGCAAGACGCGCCATGCCATGGGCTTTAGCCGCGGAGAGTTGCCATTCATGTTCTATCGCATGCGTGTGCTGGGCTATCCGCCCGCCTGGCTGGAGGAGGCAAAGGTTCAAAGCTCTGGCATATCGCTCTTCAATGCGGATGTAAGTGAGAGTCGATATGTGATTAGATATATTTATATAAAATTCGTTGTCTACTCTTGCAGGGCAGCGAGGTGCAGGCACCAGAGCAAGAGGAAGGCGAGTCCGAAAGCTTTAAATATGATGTCAATAAAATAATCGACTTTCCTGGCTTCAATGTGCATCCAGGTGCCAAGTTCTATGATGTAATTATGGGCTCATCTATATGGCCAGCAGAATTCTAAACATCATTTCTCTCTCCAGGATTACCAGCATCACAACGTGCCACGCTTTCAGCAGCATCAGCTAAAGGAAAACTTTATCAAGTCGCTGGGCGAGAATGTGACCAAAGGCTATAAACGCAAGAAATTGATAGACCTGCCGGCGTCACATGATACTAGTCTCAAAGAACGTGAGAATGACACAAATCTCGTAGAACACGATATGGATCTGGATGATGATGATGAGCTGGAGCAGTCTGAAGAGCAGCCATCTTTGCCTTTTGCAGACGCCACTGAAACTGCACCGCCGGCCAAAGAGGAGCCGAGCAAGCGCAGTCCATCGCCCACGTTGGACGATCTGCAAGCGCAGCAGGCGAAACTTTTACAGCAACTGGACGCCAATACCTCCCTCAACACAAGTGAAGTGGAGACAAAGGCCGCTCCAGATGCCGAAGTTAATGAAAAAAGCCAAGAAATTTCATCGAAGCCCGCCGCTTCTAGTCAAACTGCAATTTTCAAAGCCCCATCCATAGCGGGCACGCCCATATTGAAGTTCTCCGTGTACGACAAGCTGCCCGTGGGCGACAACTTCAAGGTAGGCGTCAGCGATGTTATCAACTTTGAGAATCTGCCCGATTCCACGGGTAAATATGAGCAAATGAAAGGAGTGCTCAAGAATGTGCGGCGCAAAATGGAAGAGCTGCAAAACAATGAGGATTAAGCAATAAGCCAGCATTTTCAGACATAGCAATACAAATTGTAAGACATCGCTTTTAAATTGTTCGAACAATAAGCATATGTAAATCATTTTAACTGTTCCAAGTGCATTTTGCACCATTTTAATTTAGGTGCAGACAAAATTTATTTACCAATTATAAATTGCACATAGAGAAATGATGTTCATGTATGTATATAGTATGTAATTCCGTAAGAATTTGTACAAAAGTTTGATATTGATTAAACGCGATAGACGAATATATAGAAAGAGGGATATTAAACTAGTTAAATGACACACACAAAAACAGAGACATATGCACATACAAATGGTTATATAACATATACAGCATATATATAACATCAATATATTCACAAATTGATTTCATTGCATTTAGTTTATTATTATTTTTTGTCTTCCACTATAGATACATACATATAAATATATATATATACACATGGGTTATATATGCTGGCTGAGTAGGCCTCTGTGTGTGTCTGGGTATGTCCTTGTATATATATGCACACACACATATATATATGTATGTAATCGTGTGTGTGTATAGTTTGGTTAAACAGAAAGAAAAATGAAAATGCAAGCTCTCATCGTTTATGCAGCTTTCCACGCTTAATTGATGGCCGGTGGCTGCGGCGGCGGCGCTCCATCTGGATTGTTGTCCCGGCGACTTGGCTTAGCGTTGGTCAATTGACGCCAAGTGCTTGGGTTCACGATATACATGAACATGGCCAACAGCATGAACACCATGGCAATGGTGAAACTATTACCAGAATCACGTCCGGAAATCGCCTGACCCGGGTGCAAGGTGCGTCCGCTAACTGCGGAAGTCGATTAGATTAGACTACTTAAATAAATGTCTACAATAAAAATTTACCATCTATGCACTCGGTATCTGTGCAGGCATTCTGATTCTGACGTATCTGTTAATGATACAATTACTCATATTATATATACATATATACATTTACATAGTCTAGTCAGCTGTCCACTTACAAAATTGATAAGCCGTTGCATCGCCAATTCATGCGACCAAATGCATTCGCAGCCATCAAACTCGTCAGCCATAATTGAAAATTCCCTTCTTCCCTTGCTGTTGTGCTTGGCGATGCTTCTGCAAGATATGTAAATGGAATAGCGTTTTTATATTCAATTAACCCTACAAAGAGTAACAATATATATATGTATGTATAAAAAGTTAAAGATATATTGTGCACTATTATTAACAATTTCGGACTGACGTGGCAAAGTAATAGGAGTGGCAAGGCGTACAAAACACAACTGGCAATAATATCAAATAGTACAAATCACAAAAGCCTATTTGAAAATGTTCTCAGCTGAAACGAATTGTTATTTTCCGTTTTCTCCTCTTCATTTTGTTTTTGTCGTCGTTTTGCAAGCGAAACAAAACGCGTATAAATGATTAAACGTAACTCTCCGATAGTAGAGAGCCTGTACTATAACTATAGTCGTGTACACGGCAATAAAAATGAATATATATTTTATGTGTGTGTGCATACAGTAGAAAACCTAATTAACTAACTGCTCTCTAGTTGTCGAAAGTTATCAAAGTCTAAAACTGATATTTCATGACTAAACCAAATTTTTATAAAAATTTCAAATTAATTTTTGTCTGAAACGTGTTAAAAATGTTTTCGAATAAATCAGATAATTTTTAAGTAAATTACCATTTCTTTTTATGTTTTGAAAGAAAAAGCAATATTAAATTTGATTTTTTTCGATTCGATAAAAACATTTTTGTTTTTTAACTATATAATCTTGTCAAATAATATTTAAATATATAAAACCCAACAATTTACAAAATTCAACATTTTTTTTTTTACTTTTGCAAATTTCTAAAAAACTAAAGTAAATGGTTATAAACACACATTTTGCAAAATAGTATATACATATATACGTACATGTATGTATATATTTTAGTATAGTAAGCTTTCACTGTATGTGCTTTAATATTTCTGATAAAGTCGGTGCTTTGATTTAGAGCAAGAGAGTCGCTGTTAATACGCCATCATTTTAAATAGCCTAAACAAAAATTTCAAGCGTAATTCATGTGTGTGTGTGACACACAAACATGTATGCATACATATATTGTATGTACCGTACGCATGTGTTGGTACGCCGCAGCAATAGAAAGAGAACTGTTCTCATCCAAGCTTTACTTCCAATACACATAATCGACCTTGGACAGAAACGCCTATTATTTAAAGATTACAAATTTAAGCATAACGCTCCAAGCGAAATTTATAGAATAAGAAAGGAAAACATATTGATACACAAACACACTCTCACACATACATTTGTTTGTTTGTGTAATAAGAGTAGGTGACTGGACTTTCACGCAAACATGTAGCTGCGCTTTTTTGCTTAATTAGCAAAGCTAATTTAATTGGAATGTTTGTTATAACACAGACGTATAATATTTTGGTAATTTTCAAGCCAATTGACACTTTGACATTATGCAAAATAAAATAATGAAGTCACTTGCATATTTGATTGTTTTGCTATTCGTATTTGGGTCTCTTCCAATTGGAATTATGCAGCGGGGACGTAAACAAAGTGCATTAGATATGTTTATTGCTACCCGTAACAACTAAAACTAAATGTGTTTTGCTTAATTATAGAATTATTATTCACACTAGCATTTATTACTCATTTACATTCGATTTCTAATTTGTATCAATTTTAAAGCTATGTTTATTGTAACAGATTACACTATTTATTTTCTTACCAATTGGAATTGGAATGAGTGACTGGAACTCACATATGGTAGTGTTGGTAAACGTGCGCCCCTGCAATGCACTTAAAAATCTCACTGCCAGCACTGCAAAATTTGTGTATAACTAGTTTTACTACTTTTATTGGCGCGAATTTACAATTCAAATTTCATGGGTTGATTTATTGCGAATCCGACTCAAGCCGAGCCGACGAGTCTTGTGCGTGGGCGCATAGATGGGCGAAAGAGCATCTTCACTTTTACGCTTGCAGATACGCTTCCTTTCGACGCGAGGCGAGTCTTGCGAGCAGCTGCGCTCCCTCACAGAGGGTTGCGGGCTGTCCTCATTCTCCTTTACATCGATTCCCCTGTGACTCGGCATTGGTGTGCTTGTCGCTGCTGCCATTGAAGCAAACCTTCTAATTGGCGTATGTCCGGCATCCGCATTGCAGTTCTCAGAATTCCGTTTCTGTTTTCGTCTTTTATTAAGAGATAAGAGATTGCGACGTGTTATTATCGAACTCTTGGTTTTTCTGTCCAGGGGCGAACGCTCCGAGAGCTGGGTTAAAGAAGATTGTAGATCAGTTGTGCATTTGGGCGTCTCGTATATAAGATCAGGCCTGTTCTGTGTATTGATATTCTGTTCCAATGGAACAGCTGACTTAGGCTGCTTGACTTCTGAGTCAAGCGGGTAGATGCCATCGATAGTTTCAATTATCGATTTGGGCACTCTTCCTTCCTTAAGCGTTTGTTGGCTAGTTAGCGACTTGTTTTTGGCTGTGCAGCCATCATCAAACCGTTCCTGCGTTTCCGCTAGTTGGTTGGGTTCCAAGTCAGCCATTAGCATAGCTGCTTTCTGCCTCATCTCTTCAGTTAATTTGAGCACCTTGTTCGAAGCAGTATGAAATTGAACACATTCTGAAATATTAGGCTGGACATTCTTATCATCTTCATTTATTGACAGAGAGCAACCAGCTTTCACTGTAGTTTTGTCCTTCCTTTGCTCTGTTGGGGGGTTTGTGCTCACAGTTTCCAAATCAGCCATCAGCATCGCCGCCTTCTGCTTCATCTCGTCTGTTAATTCCAGAGCCTTATTCGAAGCAGTACGAAATTGAACTGGATTTGAAAGTTCAGCATGCAAATTGCAATTAGCACCTTTCCTTCTTGTCTGAGAGTATCCTGCTTCAGTCTTCTCTTCAATCACACTCAAGGAATCTTTTTTTGCTTCATATAGATCTGTATTTATACCTTCCAAATCAGCCATCAGCATTGCTGCCTTCTGTTTCATCTCTTTGGTCAATGTCAGAGCTCTATTCGAAGCAGTTCGAAATTGAATATTTTCTGGAATCCCATTTTGCTTACAGTCTGCCTTCTGTTGTGCAGGACTAACTTTCCAGTCAGTCGCTTCTTTATGTTGCTGATCTTTGGTCGTATTTGCTTTAGCATCTGGTATATCTATGGGCTGCCATTCGCTTAATGGTATCATATCCAATTGATTACTCGCGTCGAGTCCATCTGCTTCTTTGCTGTCTGGTATGGCCATTGGCTGCCATTCACTTAATGGAATCCCAGCGAGCAGTTCACAGTCTGCAGCTGCCTCGTCTTTCTTCGAGGCCGCCGCTTGATCCTGCTTCAGCATGTTCCCGTTTTCAGCTTGATTTTCGACAACTATTTCCAAATCAGCCATTAGCATAGCTGCTTTCCTTTTCATTTCCTCTGTCAACTTCATTGCCTTATTAGACGCCGTGCGAAATTGAATACTATTTGAGTTATCAACTGGACGTTTAGCTTCTACTACTTTACTTATCTCATGTAAGTAGCTAACTTTTTCCTTTGGTGGTGGCTCCTGAATTTCTATTGGATTGTCTATTAGCTCAACAGGTTGCCATTCACTGAACGCAATCATCTCCATCTCCATTTGCTCTTTGCAATCCTTCTCTTGCTGCTCTTTTATGCTTGAGTTATCAATTTCCATGGGCTGCCATTCACTTAAGGCTATTTCCTCAAGCAATTCAATTTCTGAAGTTTCTTTAGCAGCTTCCAGCTGAGTCTTTTTGGAGTGTACATTCTTATCTTCACATAAGTTGGTGTCTAAAAGATGTTATATTTATTTAAAATAATTATGAAGCGAGCCATTTATTTTTAATATACCGAATTTACCTTGCAATTTCTCAACTCTTCCTGTAGTTTCATCTCTAAATAGTGAAAATTCAGCATTATCTGTAAAAGGAAAATTATTAGAAATTATGTATATTAAAACATACGAATAAAATATGTAAATAAGATCAGATTTCAAATTTTTAGGCAAAAGTGCATTCTATCTTCTAGTATGTGAAAAATTAATCGACAATCGAGAAACCGGGAAATTCAAAAGCACACTGAAAACACCGTTTTGCATATGGCTTACCTATTATTTTACTATCACAGTTATCCTCAAGATATTTACATTGCTCGGTGCCGCCAATGAAGTACCCAATTTCCTCCAGAATACCAGTAGCATCCTCGTCTTCGAAGTCATTCGCTTCCAGTATGGTAGAATTCTTCAAGTCCATTTGCATGTCGGGCAAATTAATCGATTTGTTTGCATTCCTTTGAGTGCTGAAAAATGCACTCAGATTTAGTAAATTCTCACAGATCTTTTGTGAGCTATTCGGATCGAAGAGACAGTTTGTCCTTGTGGGAACTTGGGTGTTGTAGTCCTCTTGCACCGACAGCTCCGAGGAACTGCAGCTCAAACGATCCTCATCATCATCTGTGATCACTGGTGAACTAGTTTTTAGTCGTTCCTTTCTATAGGTTTTGATTCTCTTGCCTCGAAAACGAAACCAGGGCGAGTAATCCTCTAGTAACAGCTGATCATCGTTCTCGAAGTATGTGGGCGATTCGCAGAAATCCCTTAGTATTTGCTGTGCAATGTTTGCTGTCTCTGTTATATCTCTATCTGGCTCAGCGTCCTCTATGTCCTTCATATCATGTTGCTTTAACATGGATTGCAGCGTGGTAAAATTTTGAGATGCTGGTATGAGATGCACTCGTACTGGTTCTTGCTGTGCGCGCAGACAGTCCAAGCGATCGGCTTCATATTCCCAATCATCGAATGGCAATTCTTGGTTTGATTTTTCACATGATCCTCGTGTTACCGCCGACAGCTTGGCCGGTACATTGTAGGGATTTCTTCTTTTTTGGCGTAATGAGCAATGACCACTTAATTCTGTTGGACTTGCAGTAATGCTGTAGTCGTCATCATCATCGTCATCTGCCATGTTCAACTGGCAAATCCATGCCCGAACTCCCAGGTGACGTATTTTAAGCCGCTTTGTTTATAAGTTGCAATAATCGATAAGTATTTACTGTTATCGGCTACATGTGCTAGAGCTGCCACTATTTTCAATTATTATATACCAAAATGTAAAGAAAAATACATATAATCTACATACTAAATTAAATTACGTCTTTTAGTTACAATTATACTTATTATAATGAATGGGATAGCAAATATATGAAATATATACATTTTAAATAATTTAAGGAGTGTTATTTTGATTTTTTAAAATACCAGTTTTTGGTACATTTTCTGTTCGAACGTTTTTCAGCACTTTTACCATCGCCTTATCGATAATATTTATTAGTTTTGTCTGCTTTCTTAGTGCTTTTGAGTCAAAGGTAGAGTTTAGCTAACAGGGATAATGGGCATACCAACGGCGGTGCTGCGTACTCAGCTAATGGGCTTGACCAATTTTATTGGCACACACAAAGACCAGGCCGACAAGTACCGTCAGCTGCTGAAAAGTGTGCTCTCAAACACCGGCCCCGAATTGATCGATACACTGAAACTCTTTGTTGAGGCCATTGTCAATGAGCATGTCAGCCTGGTAATTGCGCGCCAGATCCTCAACGATGTGGGCGTCGAGCTAAGTAAATTGCCCGACGACATGTCCAAGCAGCTGTCCCACTTTACACTCGAGAAGGTTCATCCACGCGTCATCTCATTCGAGGAGCAAGTGGCTGGCATACGTTTTCATCTAGCCAACATCTACGAACGCAATCAGCAATGGCGCGATGCAGCGACCGTTCTGGTCGGCATACCCTTGGAAACGGGCCAGAAACAATATTCTGTGGAATGCAAACTGGGCACATACTTGAAGATTGCACGTCTCTATCTGGAGGACAACGATTCGGTGCAGGCCGAACTTTTCATCAATCGCGCCTCATTACTGCAAGCCGAAACAAATTCCGAAGAGTTGCAGGTGACATTCGCATTGTCATCTATCCAGCTTCCCAATAATGCTATCTATAATCTCTTTAGGTTCTTTACAAAGTTTGCTATGCCCGCGTTCTTGACTATCGTCGTAAATTCATTGAGGCTGCTCAGCGTTACAACGAACTCTCCTATCGCAAAATCGTGGATCAGGGCGAGCGAATGACTGCCTTGAAGAAGGCTCTGATCTGCACAGTTCTAGCCTCAGCTGGGCAGCAGCGCTCTAGAATGCTGGCTACACTCTTCAAGGATGAGCGCTGCCAGCATTTGCCTGCCTATGGCATACTGGAGAAGATGTATTTGGAGCGCATCATACGACGCTCAGAGCTGCAGGAATTCGAGGCTTTGTTGCAGGATCACCAGAAGGCTGCCACACCAGATGGCTCGTCCATATTGGATCGCGCGGTCTTCGAGCACAATTTGTTGTCCGCCAGCAAATTGTATAACAACATAACATTCGAGGAATTGGGTGCTCTGTTGGATATACCTGCTGCCAAGGCCGAAAAAATTGCATCACAGATGATCACGGAGGGTCGCATGAATGGACACATTGATCAAATTTCTGGCATAGTACATTTCGAGAATCGTGAGCTGTTGCCCCAATGGGACCGTCAAATCCAATCACTTTGTTATCAAGTGAATTCCATTATTGAGAAAATAGGCGTGGCCGAGCCCGAATGGCTGGATCAACAGAACTGAATAAAATGGGGATTAGCATCATTTGAGAAATTTACTGGGATTCTCATCCTAAGCTGGCAGTTTTCTTTATAATTTAATTTACACTTGCCTCTGGAGTTCCGCCATGTAAAATTTCATTTTGAATTTAAGAAATAAATAGCAGATGATTCCATGAATCAATGCAAAAAAAAAAAAAAAAAAAACAATATTAAGAGAAAATCGTAAAAATATAAATTCAATTTATATATGAAACATGTACATACATATATTCAATGGTATTTTTCTATTCGTATAATTCACAAAATATTTCTGCATACACATATATAAATATTTATATTTATATATGTCTGGTATACAATTTTAACTCTTAGACAACTAGCGGAAAGTTTTGCTTTTGTATACAATACAAATACAAAAACAATTGTATATAGAGCAGTTTATCTATATATACATATATATAGAGAGACGTTTATATACGTATATATTTGATATAAGAATAACTAGAAAATTTAAATCATGAGGGTCCCATTCGTAACTTGTACTACCCACGGCCTAAAATTCCAAAAATGAACATTTGAAGTTAACTAAATTAATAGAAACTAATATAATAGACTAATTAAATGTACAGCAAAAATTTAACTAAACAAAATGCAAACAATTTGCTAGCAAGCAAGTCCTATAAAAATAAACGAAACACTCCTCCGATATTGTGCATTAAAAACATCCGTAAACCAAACTTTGAAATGGAGACTCTCGATGCTCGCCCTAACTTAAAAGTGAAAGTAAAGTCATCCTTGGGTATTCGCAGAGGACTCCTCATTCAGCTGCATTTGCGCTAAGGTGCGTACAACCACGCCACGATTCACGGGCGTCAATCCTTGGCAGAGACCAACGACAGCGTCCAGGGCCACATCCGGACAGTCCTGGCAAAGGAAATATGAACACATTAATATATATAGTATACACATTCATATGTATATAACTAAGCTACCTCGAGCATTTTGGATATTGTGGAGATAATGGCATCCCTCTTCACAGAGTTGACATTTTTGGACACAATCGATTCGCTATTTGATTGCTCCTGGTACCAGTTGACCATTTCCTCATTATTGTCCCACAAATAGGCCTGCAAAGGAGAGTTATTAATATATATTTGTATAGTGGGAGTTGCCTTTGTAACACTACCTCTGTGGTGCCCTTCTCCTCGACCAGCCAGCGACGCAGCATCTGCTTGGCTTGACCCACCGAGAGGTTGTCTTGTGCGCGTAAGATCTTCTTGATATACGCATCCTCGAGCAGCAGTCGACGCAGACGCCAGTAGAGCCAGCGACGCGATTCGCGCCAGGGGACAATTTCGCTTATGCATTCCTTTTCCAGCATGCGCTCAGGCGTATCGTGCAGATCGGCAAAGTGAACGGCGACAGTGTGATACACATGCATCAGCACTGCAATGCGCGCCTTAATCTTCTCATCCAGTTGTGCGGCCTTGACCTTATCACCAGCGGCGATGGCCTCGTCATACTCGCGTTTCAGCTGCAAAGATGGAATATGCAATAAGAATTTAGATAGCCATAGAGATGGTATAGTTATTACCCCAATGGTGGTGCCATCCAGGCGATGTATAGTCTTGATCAGATCCTTCTCCTTGTACTTGATCTCGACAATGCCCTCTGGTTCGAGCACACCGCCGCGTGCCTCTGGATCGGCATAGGTTTCCATGTAACGCGGATTGATCAGAGAGTCAAGCACAGCCCAGGCACCTCCACGCAGCTCAGCATTGGGTGGCAAATAGATGAGCACCGGCTTCTTGTACTCGCGCAGTCCGTCGACAATGTAGGCACCGAATTTCACAATCTGCTCATACATGTCCTTCATGCCGCCGGAGAAACCACGCCAGTTGGCAAACACAATCAATGGCAGCTCTTCGCGTCCGAAATCTTTGATTGCCTGCGCTGTCTTGTAGGACGAGTCGGGATACCAAACCTGGCCAGCCTGCTGCAGTGTCTTGGCTTCCGAATCCAAATTCGCGGGATCCGCGGGCATCTCCACCTCCACGGTGCGCGTCTCTACGGCTATAACGCCAACTGGCACACCACCCAAACGGGCACGTCCCGTGACCACTGTCTTGGCCCAGGGCGCCATAATTTCGCTCCATGAATCACGATCAAAGAAACCGTTCTCCCATTCGTTGGCATTGGCGGGATTCACACGGCCAGCGAGCATCCAGCGTGGATCATAAGGCGATTTGGTGGGCATAAAATCAACGGGGCGATCAATGCGATCACTGGGCAATATAATGGGCAGATCGCAGCCAATATAAGCGGGAATGTAAGAGAGCCAGTCGAGAATTGTGTAAACGCCATCCAAGTCGATGGCTTCCGTTTTGTGCGTGACACCATTATTATACATGATCTGGACGCCACCAAGCTGATTATTGGAGGCATAGACCTTGCGACCGAGCAGCTACAATTGGAATAAAGAAGAGGGAGTATAAATTTTGGATTCAATGCAAGATATATGCCAATATATTACCTTATTCAAGGCCGCATAGCCCGTGAGTATAATGTGCGAATTATCAATCTGTATGACACGCTGGCCAAGACGAACCACATAGGAGCCGATGCCGATGGTGCGACAGGTGACCATGGCAATGGTTACGATTTCCTCATACGCCTGGGATGTTTCACCGGCAATCAAACCAGCATACCGCAAATTCTCAACGCCCAAGCCATCGTCCTTGCCAATGATATCCGTAATCTTGTAGCGCTGTTCGCCCTCATCCTCGATGAGTATTGCACGCACCGAATTCAGATTCGCTACCTTGGCATAGTCCTCAGTGGTCAAGTATAGATACTTGAAGCCCTTGTCTGGCTCCTCTGGATCCTCCCATGCGATCTTGAACATGGCCTTCACCTCCTCAGCGAGGCCAATGCGTGCGCCGCTGTTGACAGAAATATAGATCTGCAGGAGAAAGACTTGATTAGAAAACATTCAATTGCGAGTCAAATGGAGCTACTTACTCGAGGCACTTTGAGCTGTCGCGCCAGTTGCGAGGCCTTGGCAAAGAGCACATCCTCCTTGATGCCAAAGGAGCCAATCAGATAGGTCAAGTCATTGGCAATCACTATAATCTCACGACCAGCTGGATACTCGGGCGTGGCCAGCACAATGCGCCAAGCAACCATGCCGCACTACAACAATATAGATAGAGAGAGATTAGTAGAATACTATTACATTCCCTGTAGTTGACTTACATTATTCTCGCCTGGCAGACGCTGTAGCTCAACTAGCGTATCGTTCTCCAAGACCAACTCTTTGCACTCCAGCAATATCTTGTCGGGTATGCGTATGTCGACAGTGGGTCGTGCCTTGGAGAACTCTCTCCAATGACGCTCGGTCATCTGGCGGAACATATCGGGCACATCGTAGACATAGGTGGTGCCATTCGATTGCGCCTGGAAGCGTTTCTGCTGCAAAAAGTCCTTGGTCATGTAGGGCGTGGAAATGGGATGACCGTGCAGAGAGCCCTGCTTATCGCCATAGGCATGGAACTTGATCTGTCGAGGATGAGAGAGAGAGAGAGAAGTGATTAGTGGTGATCATCAATCGCTCGTCTATCAACTTACAATGCCCGTTTCGGGTTCAGTTTGCTCCGTGTACATGGAGATGTCCAGGAAGTAGCCTGAGTCGTTGGCAATGCAGAGACGCACGGCTTGGGTGGGAGATTGAGGAGACTGCCGAATGACCATCTTCAGCTCAGCTTGCAACACGCGCAGCTTCCACAAACGTGGACCATAGCGCATGATCATCTTTGTCACGGACTCCTCGATTTTCGCCGGATCCATGATGACCGTGGGCACAAAGTTGAGGAATATGTGATTGCAATCGGTGCGCTTGGCATGGGGATGGGAGAAGGCAACCTCCAGTTCATCCATTGCCTCGAGCAGCACACGTTCGCCCTCATTTTGCAGATACTCGAATGAGGCCTCTTTGGTAATCAGGTCGGAGTGACGGATAATGGAACGTATGAAGAAGCGATAGTCGGTCACCTCTTGACCCTTCGATACCTTAGCTCTGCCCAAATACAAATGCATTTTCTGGTTGGCCGTGGGTAACGCCTCCAGGTCGTAGGTCTTCATGCGATTCAGCTCCAAATGGAAAGCCGATGCTGGCTCCAAATGCCTATAGATGCGATCCTCCTCGAAATTGTCGCGGGCTCGATACGTAAAGAATTTGGGGAACTGGCGTTTCTTGAGCGCCGCAAAGGTGATGCGACGTATGCGTCGCTGGTACAGCTCCTCGTTGTGCTCCTTGCAATAGTTGCCAAAGATCTGCGACATTTGCACATCGTCCATTTCCCCGGTCTCCCTCACAGCCACACTGATGATGTGGATGGGCTCCGTGGACTTGGCCTCTTCGGCAGCATTCGCACGCGTGATGGGATCCGAGAGGGAGACATTGATCGAGGTACTGTGACGACTATCCGAAATAGAGTCCGCTGCCTCGACAGCCTCCAAGACCTTAGCATTGCACATTGCTGGCGACACGAAATCCTCCAGCAGATCGAGTATCTCATCCGAGTACATGGAGAAATGCTCGAACGAATCGAATGCTGCAATCGCGCCCGTGCGCACAAATGAGCTGCCCATCGTCTCGGCAGCCGCCTGATCCAGGCCATCCGGCGAGCTCATGCGCGAGAACAAGCGATTCGGATGCGCCGTTGGCAACAGGAATTGGAAATGCACCAGGGGCAAGCCACCGGAGAGCTCCAAGTGCTGCAGACAGGTCAGGTCATAGGAGGTGTAGGCACGTCGCACATAGACCTCGAGGGCGGCGTTGCAGACAGCCCGATTGGAGTGATAGAAGAAGTCATGGAGTATGTCAAAGATGGATGTCTCCGACAGGATCAAGCGCTGCAAGTTCTCGGGATGGAAATCGTGACCGTACATATCGACAGCCGACAGGAAGATGGACTCCATCTGATTGTGACGCAGCTCGTAGGCCGGCTGATGGGCAGCAATGAGCACCTGGCGGGAGCGCAAGGCCACACGTGAG